ACCACTTTCATAACGTCCTACACTGACTACATCATATTGATATCTTTGTGTTCCCACTGAGGATAGCTTGGTTCCCCTTTCAGAGATCATTGAAGGTGATCCTCAAGTTCCTGTCAAGCTGCCAATGCAGCTGTCACAAAGCATGTCTCAGGACTCCTGAAAAAAACCTATCTGTGCAGTAGTTTCTCCCTGTGCGGATTATTATTTCCTGCCTTTAATAATGATTTTGCTCTGTATGATGTAAATAAAGAGACACAAGGAGAGAGGAAAAGAAGCTGTGCCTTAAATGAATACCAGGGGGTGGGAACTTGCTTTCATAAGGAGTATGTTTCCACTTAGCTTGCAAATGAACTTGAGCAAACATTCACTGCCACCCCCCTCTTTTATGTTATTATTTTGCTTGCATGCCTATAAATCAGATGCAGTGCTGGGAAGGGAAGAGTTAAAAATCAGCCATATGGTAAGAGCAGGAGGTCTGGCCACCCCACCTTAGGCTCATGACAACATGCCCTACATTTAACCTACAGTCAGGAACTAATTAACAACACGGATGGGAGTGAACTAGCATATGTATTAAGAAAAAAGAAAATTAATACTCCTAAGGTTTTAATCAGCAGCCTTGCCTTTTTCTGGGTTAGAAGCCCATGTCCTACCACAGGAAACTCTACAAAATATATGTGTGTAGATTCTATATATGGGGAAGAAATGCCTTGTAATGGTTAGCAAGTGGGGCTGTCTTCCAGGAGCAGCCGTGGTGTTGCATGGCTATAGGTAAGTCATGAAAAGCTGCTGAGAGGGAAAAGGGGTGGGGTGGGGATACCTAAATATCAAGGGTGGTTTGGAGGTATGAAGAAAAATTGGTGGATCAAAGACAAAACTTTTAGAAGGTATCACTACTGTATGGATTTTCAGCTTGCTTGAGGTTTGGCAACTTACAAGAGTGAAATACCCATAGTGTATTTATATTTCACTAGGTGGAGCTTCTCATCTTGTTTCTAACAGAGTGAATTAAAAATGTGAGGGGGTATCTTTGGGGGGATGACAGCTCCCAGAAAGCCCCAGCAAACTGGGCGAGCTGTGGTTCAAAACCGGATCTTTTCAAATTTCTCTTATTAACCTTCATCGCTGAAGCTGCCAGTTCAAATTGCCTGGCTCAAGGAGGAGTATGCATGATGGCAAATTTTCTCGTGCTGATTTTTTGGTCAGGAAAACTGACTGTTCTAAAATCCAGCTATAAGTGCTCATATCCAAATGAGGATTGTTTTTAGTGAGTGATTCCTTTGTAACTGAGGAAAGTGTAGTAAATTACATGTCCATACAGATGTTATTTGGTTTCTAGCCAAAAAATGACCACCCTATCAGAGAAAGAAGAAATTCTGTGAGGAAAGCTTGCTTCTGTAATCCAGGTTGGGTCACTTAAATGTTCCCTTTGTCTTGCAGAGGATGCCTGTAGAAAAATAACTCAAGATCAGCATGATAAATGGGCTCCTCTGTATACCTGGGAGGGAGAGGAATGTTCAGTTCCACTGATATGCACACTATATATTTACACTGATTATATGATATTTTAAAATACATTAGTTGTCTCTAAATACTGTAATAGCATTGTCTGAGATTATATCTGTGGAGGAATTTCCATTGCACAAAGAAGGATATTGTATGCTTGTGTTCTTCTTTTTCTGGGGTACTAGACTGCACAGTTGGTAGAAGAACTGGCGTATCCTGTGACTAGTTCAGTGGTTCTCAACGTTGGGTCCCCTGCTGTTCATGGACCACAATTCCCAGAAATCCTGTCCAGCATAGCTGGCGGTGCAGGCTTCTGGGATTTTAGTCCAAGAGCAGCTGGAGACCCAAGGTTGTGAACCAGTGGGCTAGACAAATGAATCCCAGAGAGTGTGTGTCTAGAAAACAGAAGCACATTTACACAGGTAGCCTCTGTAGCAAATGTATGTACCCTTGGCTCTCCTGATGTTTTTGATGATAACTCCCATAAGTCTTGATCCCTGGCCAGGCTGAGTGGTTTATAGGTACTGAAATCCAAAACAGCTGGAAGCTCTGAGTCTCTCTTTCCCTGCTCTGTTGGCAAACTTGTGTATTGGAAGCATGATTATTGGAAGCATGAGTATACACTTTCTTCCTGATGATGACAGATTACCCCCTTGTAACCCTTCATAAGATGTGCCAGTTGAAAAGCCACGAGGCAGAGATTTCCCCACTCTGTATCTGCAGAATTTCTGCCATACACTATCTTTCTGGGATCTGCCAAAGTAACAAGACATTCTTTTTAATGGAAATAATGTCGGGAGGTAGAAAAACCTGGTCTTAAATCCCAAGACAAGCATGAAATAAACCAGGTTTTTCCTTTTGCCAAATGGTTTTAAAATGGAAAGTTGGACATACATAAATTAGGAGGGAAATTTTCAAACAACTTCAACGAAGTGGCAAACTCCTTTCCCCTCACTATCGAGAACGGGACTCTGTCTAAAGTCCATTGAGTTTTGTATAAATAATTTATATAAATGAGTATGCATGTATACAGTTACAAATCTGATAAATGTATAAATCACATTATATTATTATTTTTTGTAGGGGGTATGTTTATATACATTTAAGGGCATGAAAAGGTTGTAGCAGATTCTTCATCAGTCCTAAATCTACTGGTTTGCGCAGCATATAATCATCTTGCTCAGTGATTACATGTTACCAGCACACAACGTTTTTCTATTCATTTACAATTATTTGTATTGTGTGTATGTTTGTGTTTCAATATTCCTAATTCTCTTCAGTTCAAGGATGTCCCAGGGCCAGAGGTTTCCAATGAAATTCTGCTAATGTGATAGCAAAGCATGTAATTAAACTGTAGTGGCAGCGCGTAATCAAAAAGCACTTGTCAGGGCAGGGCACCAGCCGTGACTGATTCGCTGTGACTAATCATGCTTGTTAGTGCATTAATTAACACAGCTGCATTAGCTCTGCATGTTTTACTGGCTACAAAGATTTCACCATGGTCTTGTCTGCAGCAGAATAGGCAGAGAAGAATTTTTGTTAGAATCCACCTGTTAATTAACTGGATCTTTATGGTAAGCCGACGCACAGCGACCTTTTAGGCTGCTGGGGATGGAATTTCAGGCTCCCACTTCTGGCTTGCCTCCCAAAGCCACCTGCCGTGGAACCGGGGTGCAAGTCTGACTCTTGTCCAAATAAGGAAAGCCTCCTGATGGCTTTGTTGTGCACCTGACTAGACTGGGCATGTGCTAAAAAGGATATTGCACATAGATCATTGACAGCCAGAGGATGATTGACAATATTACTGACAAATACGAGATACCTAAAAACCAAACAGAAAGCCTGTCACTGCCAAACAACACCTGGAACATTGCTAACTGGCATTTCCAGTTCAGAGTGGTCTATTGCCCGTCTTCTCCATTCCAAGGGCTGACGATGGCTGATAGCAAAGTGTTTTTTTCCTACTCTTTGCCATCTTTGCCAGTGCCACTTCTAGTGAGACTGTCAGCAAAAGTATCATATTTAGAGCATGAAGCTGAGTGGCCATCATGCCTCCTGATTCTTTTTCCTCTGGCCTCATGGCACAGTGGTTAAACTGCCGTACTGCAGCCAAAACTGTGCTCATGACCTGGGGGTTCAATCCCAAGTAGCTGGCTCAAGGTTGACTCAGCCTTCGATCCTTCGAGGTCAGTAAAAGCTCACTGGGGGGCAATGTGTAACCTGCATAATTAACTTGTAAACCGCCCAGAGAGTGCTTGAAGCACTATGGGGTGGTATATAAGCAGCACGCTTTGCTCTTTTTTTTGCCTTTTTAAAAAGCTTTGGCTATCAAAAGCTTCTTCTGGCCATTTCTTCCACAAGCCAGGTCTTAATGATCGGGTCTGACCTTTGATATTCTGGACTGTGTGACATTTCTGATATACATTTCTTTCCTTCGTGGGTTCATTTTTAGGAGATGTGCATTGACTAAGAAGATCTTAAAACACTTAATCTTGCAAGCCACTTTAGTTGGCTAATCAAGAACTGTCACCCATTGCAAAGCTGATGCTAAACAGGGATGTGGCTCTGTTGTGATCTCCACAGTGCAGATGGCAATACAGAAGAGAAACCAATGGAAGCTGTTCCAAGTTGGCATATGTTCTACTGTTGTTCTAGACTTGATCCTTCTTCTTTCTACAGGACTGCAATCTAGTGGCAGCACAGGTAGTATAGATGAAAAGGATGTACTGTAGAGGCAGCAGTGCTCTTTCTTTCTTTCTTTCTTTCTTTCTTTCTTTCTTTCTTTCTTTCTTTCTTTCTTTCTTTCTTTCTTTCTTTCTTTCTTTCTTTCTTTCTTTCTCTTTCTCTTTTGTCTTGCCAGTTTATACAGTGGGCAAAGCCGACATCCACAGAACCATGTGGCTCTTTCCTATGACATCTGGTCTCTGAGGGAATCCAGTCATCTGCCTTTTATTATCTCATAAACCACCTGTATCCAAAATAATGCAGTTCCTGTTCCCTCCTAGTGATCACAGGCAGTATCACTACAGTGTGCTTTTAGCTTTCAAATAATGGAAGAAACACAAGACCAAATGGTAAGATAGTGCTGCTTGTCTACTTGAAGCAATTTCAAAAGGAATTGTTTGATTCCACCAAACAAGTTGGGACATGGTGTGTGTTGTCCGAAGCTTGCATAGAAATAAAACAAACCAGTGCCACGTGCAGACACTCTGGTTTCAACTTCTGATTAAGAAACTTGGGAGAAGATGCTGTACCCTGGATGTTCAGGTGTCACTTCATGGGTTGACAGAAAGAAATATTCAGGAAACCCAAGGCGCCAAATGTAATAATCACAAAAGAAGATTGCTCAATAATGCGTTGTTATTATTTTAGACAAACCACTTCTGATGTCAGTAGACTGCAACCACAGCACAGCTATGAGTTATAATTTTTTGATCTCTTTATTGGTTAGGAAGAGTTTTCCCCCAGGTTATCAAAATGTTATGATTCCTGGATAACACTATGTTGCAAATACTTCAGGCATTTTTAACTGCAAAGCCATTGGAAGTATAATTTCGTTTTTCATGCCTGGCTGTTTCCGCATGGTCTTCTTGGGCTCAGATGAAAGGGGAAATTGTTGTAGAATAATTGATGGATCTCATTTACACGAGACCTATGGATTAGAGTAAAAGTATGGCAAATGGGCGATCTGTGTGGTTTTTTTGTTTGTTTGTATTTAAAACATCACACAATTATTTTCCATTCTTACATACTGTAATCTGATTAATAATTGCTCATAATTACTAATTAGCAATTCCATCACCCTAAAGACACAACAGTCCTCAAAGTTCGGGTTAATTTCATACTCCTTAAACAACATGAGTTCAACTAATCCATATTTCATCTAACACCAATAGATGATATATTGCAAAGCTTTGCTAATATCATTTAAAGCTGCATATGGCCACAAGGCCATTCCAGATTAACTCAGTGAAAAATCTACCATCACCACCACTACCGCCACCACCAACATTTTTCTTCTCTCTCTCTCTCTCTCTCTCTCTCTCCCCCCACCCAAAGGCCTGTGTTTTTTTTAACAGTTCCCAGTTTAGGGATATTGAGATCCCCTCCAAAACCTAAAAACTGAACATGCACTTCCAGTTTGCTTATTCCTTAAAATAGTTGTTTCTGGAAATTTCTGGGCATATTGTGACCTATAATTGGATGTGAGGCAAAAAATCTGGTCTCCAAGCCTCCAAAATCGCCCACTCCTGATTTTCTAAATCCATACCAGTGTGGGGAAAAAATCATTATGGTCATGAGCAGATTGTATTCTATAATATGGATTAGAGCTGTAGTTTGGTATGTTACGAATCGCAGTGTTTGTAGGACCAAGTCTGTAAGGACACTTGAAATGGTGTATCTGAATCTCTTTCTGTTCTGAGTCCCTTTAGACATATCTCCACTAAAAACTACAAATAGAAATAGAGATTTCTAATAAATTATTCTCTTTATTCATACCATATTGCAGTTTCAGGATTTAATTCTGTGGGGAAAATCGAATGCATCAGAGCCTAGAGTCAGATGTGAGTGTTGTTGAACCACTTGGAATGGTCACAGTACTATTCAATTCAATTTATATGTTAGTGGGGAAAATGCCAGTGAATAGCAATGGAGTCACATTTCACTTCGGTACAGTAAACATCTCAAAATCTGAGAAAATTGGCAAAAAGATAGGTAGAGTCAAAGGGACAAATTTCTCCAGGATGCTTGGGATTGCTGAAAGCCATAATAATAGAAGCTCTGCTTAACTGTATACTGCAGGCCAGGAAAAGGTACCACCATCAAGTGATCTCCAGCTTCGTCAAAGAACAGTCACTGTAGTCAGAGAAAAAAGGCCATTCAGAAGATGAAATTAGAATGAAAAGGAATAAAGATTACACAGAAGACAGGCAAGCAAGCAATTGAACAATGACGGAATGGCACTGATGAGCTTAGGACTAATTGAAGTAAGGCAAAAAGCACAACATATTTAAAGGCACCACAAGTAGGAAACAGAAGCAAAGTGGATCATTGGATACAAGAAACTTAAAGAGGACTGCAAGAAGGTTATTTCATTTCAGAGGGACTGATTGAATTATTTCAGTTGTTTTTAGTGTAGAAGATGCACAGCAGATAGATGCATCTTCTTGTACTAATAACTTAAGGAAGAACAACTCAAAATTGTGGTACTGTGTTATTGAAAACTTGAAAATAAATCACCAGGTCCAGATGATATTGTTGTGTTGTTTTTAACTGTGTTATTAAGAAACTGAAATGGAAATTGCTAATCTTCTAAACTATGATGAACCTTTGCACCAGACAATTAAAAAGTAGTTAATGTAATTCCAGTTTCTTAAAAGGGATCGAAAGTGAGACAGAATGAAGAAATTCTAGCCTTGTTGACCAAGGGCTTGTGACAAAGTCCTTCACCAGACTTTTGAGCAAAATTGGCAGTCCTCTGGCAATTGGATGGATCTTCTTGTAGATTTGGTGGCTGGTTAAGAATCAGGTAGGAGATTAGGTGAAAGAAACATCAATAATTTAAGACATGCAATCAGCAAATCATCTGCAAAGGCCAGACCCTTGAATATTTATCCTTGTAACTTGAGACCCTTCATTTTATCTGATATTTGAATCTGCTGCATTAGTACTTCAATTACTGTTTTAAAAAAAAGTAACTGTGATGATGGGCAGCCTTGTCGTGTTCCTTTCTGTATTTCTATTTCTTGTGTACATTCTCCATTGATTCTTATCTTTGCTGTCTGTCTGGAATAGATAATCTTTATTATTTCAGTGAAATCCTGACCTGTCCCCATTTCTTCTAATTGTGATATCATGAAGTTCCAATTTACATTATCGAATGCTTTCTCTGCATCAATCAAGAGAATCGCCATCTGTTTAGCTGGTGTGCTTCATAATATTCCCAAAAGTTGATGAGGTTCTTCACATTCGATCATAAATATCTCTTTGGGAGGAATCCTGCTTGGTCTTGATGGAGAAAACAGCAATAACATGAAATGACTTTTAGTGGAAGTGAAAGAAGAAAATGCCAAAGCAGGACTGCAGTTGAACATTAAGAAGATCAACATCGTGACTACGGAACAACTACACAATATTAATTTTGATAGTGAAAAATCTAAAACAGTGAAAAATTGTATATATCTTGGTTCAATTATCAATCCTAATGGAGATTGCAGCCAAGAAATCAGAAGAAGACTGAGACTCAGAAGGCAGCAATGAAGGAATTAGAAAAGATAATTAAATGCAAAGATGTGTCACTAGAGACTCAGACCCACACTCTTGTATTTCTGATCATTGTGTATGGGCATGAAAGCTGTACAGTAAAGAAAGCTGACGGGGGGCGGGGAATAGATTAATTTGAAATACGGTGCTGTAGGAGTGCTTTGTGGATAATGTGGACTGCCAGAAATACGAACAAGTGGGTCCTAGAGAAAATCAAGCCTGAACTATCTCTGGAGGCAAAAATGAGGCTGTCCTACTTTGGGCACTTGATGAGAAGGCAAGACTCTTTAGAAAAGATAATGACACTGGGAAAGGCTGAAGGCTGCAGGAAAAGTGGAAGACCAAAATGAGATGGAATGAGATGAAATCACAGGACTTGAGTTTGCAAGAGCTGAGCAGGACATTCCTGTTCCCTATGAATAATATCCAAAAATCCTGTTGAGGACAGGATATTTTGGATATCACTTGTCCATAGGGTCATCATAAATCAGAGGTGACTTGATGGCACATAACACCAGCAAGCAATGGTGACTGGAGATACTCTCTATGATGTAGTGGACAGAAGGACAGAATAAGACTCAGGAGAAATGGGTTCAAATCCCCACTGAGACATGAAAACTTATGTGGGGGCAGGGCATTGGTAAAACCACTCCTTGAATATCTCACATACCTTGGGAACCCTGGTAGGGTTGCTATAAATCAGACACAACTTGCTGGCTCATAACACTAGACATGATGACTATGTATTATCGCTGTTACCAGAAGCAGAATATTAACTCCAATACTGGGTATTAACTGCTGGGGTACATGACTTGGAGAACACTGTTATTCTCATGTCTTGCTTGTGGGCTGCCTTCAGCAACTATTCTGCCATCTTGGAAACAGCCTAAAGGATCAAAGGCCTGTACTCTGATCCTGTAGAGCTCTGCAATATTTTCCTATGACATTATGTTCCTGTTGTGCCAGGATTATGGTTTGGTTGAGGATAAGTATCCTTGGAATACTCTGATAGGATTTTCTTCTACAAACTATGTTTTGGAAAGTCATATATTGTCCTATTAACTGTGGGGGTTCGGATGAGGAGAATGGTACCAAAAAGACAGAAATTACTTTGAATTCCTAGATTTCAAAGGGGGAAGGAATGGGGGGGGGACTCTTGAGGGTAGTGTTCTTGTCCATTTGAATTGTGGACCAAAATGTTGCTGTTCTGAGAGTCACTGAATATCTGTCTTTTATGGGGTGACTAAATGGTTTGATAGGGACGTGGTGGCACTGCAGGTTAAACCGCAGAAGCCTCTGTGCTGCAAGGTCAGAAGACCAGCTGTCGTAAGATCGAATCCAAGCAACAGAGTGAGCTCCCTTCGCTTGTCCCAGCTCCTGCCAACCTAGCAGTTCGAAAGCATGTAAACGTGGGTAGATAGATACCACCACGGTGGGAAGGTAACAGCATTCCATGTCTAGTCATGCTGGCCACATGACCACAGAAACTGTCTATGGACAAACACTGGCTCTACGGCTTGGAGACAGGGATGAGCACCGCACCCTAGAGTCAGACACAACTGGACTAAATGTCAAGGGGAACCCTTACCTTTACCTTAAATTGTTTGATAATGGCTGGAGGGCAATTATGGTCTGAAAAGCAGATATTCCAACATCATTCTGAAAGATAGGCTGTTTTCTCTTTAATTTCATGTCTTGGGTTCATTTGTTTCAAATCCTCCAGTACCCTATTTTGCATTGATTGTCTTAATCTGTTGCAATATGGATACCCGGTTTTGTTAGCTAACCAAACCAAAAACCAGCAAATGGACAAACACTGGCATTTGATGAACTTCTATATTCATCAGTGTGTTTGTGTCGGGTGTTTTCTGCATTTAAAAAAATAATTATAAAGTTGGATGAATAAATAATGGAGGATAATTTGTGTGTGTGTGTGTGTGTGTGTGTGTGTGTGTGTGTGTGTGTGTGTGTGTGTGTGTGTGTGTGTGTGTGTGTGCATGTTGAACAGCCAGTGCCACATGCATTTGACTGCTAATCCCTGCTTGCTCTCAGTATATTTATTCTTCGTAAATCATGTGCTCACATGCGTTCCATGTTTTTATCTCTTCACTAACCTATAGAAAGATAAATTAAGTAGAAACCTTTCACAGACCCTTTTCAGAAAGCCTCACAGATAAGAAATCCAACATATATGACAAAAGAAATAAATTAGGCCCCCAGTTTTATTCCTCCTAACTCATTTTATTTGGAATGTAGGGAGGTCCCTTGAATTCATTGTCTACTTAGAATCAATACTTAGAATGTGGAGATGTAGGACTACCAAACTGGTTATTATATTATAAGGCGTGTGCTATGACATGGATAAAAGAATGGATAACCCTGGTAAACCAAAGATTACTGAAACTAGAAGGGCATGACTTAAGCATAGGCTGACATGCATATGTGTGGTATGGGAAATATAAGGAACAATCACACTTTATGGAACATATTGTAAGGGAAGCATTGGGTCTAGTGTGGTATAAATTTCGAGCACAAACATACAGTGGGATCTCGACTTAAGAACTTAATCCGTATTGGAAGGTGGTTCTCAAGTCGAAAAGTTCTTAAGTCGAATCTGCATTTCCCATAGGAATGCATTGAAAACCATTTAATCCGTATCTGCTCTTTTCTGACCATAGAAACTAATGGGAAGCTGCTATTCTGCCTTCTGCCACTAGAGGGGGATATTTTCTTTCTTTTTTCCCCTTAGGTTCAGGGAAGGCAGGGAACATTAAAGGCAGCACTTTAGAACTCTTTTTTTTTAAAAAATGAAGCCAATTTTAAATAATGTTTTAAAGCATGTTGTGCTGATTTTTTCAGCACAAAGGCACTCAGGCAGGCTTTTTAGGTGCTGAGCAAGCCTCCCGAAGCCTGCTCAGAGCCAGCCGATCAGCTGTTAGGCGGGGAGAGGAGCGGGGAAAACCACAAAATGGCTGCCAGGCTCTTTCTGGGTGTCAGCTTTTAGTTCTTTCCTGCTCTTTTTCCTGTGGTTTGGGGGCTACCAAGGCCTGGTAAGTGACTTTATTTAACAGTACAGTATTTATTTGTAAGTTTCTAACCCTTTTCCCCCCTCCAGAAGCCTCTAAGGGGAGGGAGGGGGGACTTTTCCCCCTGTTCATAACTTGAGGGTCATTGAATAAATTAGAATCAAGATATAAAAAGATAGAAATTTGGGCTTTTTTAAGTACAGGTAGATAAACTGTGGATCTATACTGAGGAGAAAATAACAAAGAAAATGTATACATACTTATTGGAATATGAAGTGGAGGATGAGAGGGTAAAGGAGACAATGATAAAATGGGCAAGGGATTTCGGCTATAATATTGACATTGATCACTGGACGATGATGTGGAAAGACTATTATAAAATGATCAAGCCAGTAAATTTAAGAGAAAATATCCTCAAAATGTTTTATAGATGGAATTATACTCCTATAAAACTGGCAAAAATGTCAGAAGGTAGCAGTAATATCTGTTGGAAATGTAAAAAAAAAAAAGTAGGAACTTATTACCATATGTGGTGGTCATGTGAAAAAGCCAGGGTTTATTGGTTACAGTTGTGGGAAATAATAAAAGGAATCATTCAAGAGAAATTAAATTTTAAACCTGAAATAGCACTATTAAATATTATGCCAGAAATTACTGATAAGAAAATCAAATATTGTTTGATGTATATACTGATAGCAGCTAGGTTACTCTGGCCCCAAAAATGGAAAAGTGAAGACATACCTACAATGGAGGAGTTCCTGAAGAAGCTGTTGGACATTACAGAATTAGATACATTATCAGAAGCACTGTGCCTTCAACCAAGAGACTATGTAAAACAAAGCTGGAACTTAATACATGTTTGGGCCCAGGAACAGATCTGAAGATAGGGCAAAATGATTGATGGGCTTTGTTTTTCTTTTTCTTTTTCTTTTTTCGCTTTCAATGCTCTCTGGAATTTGGAAAAGTTCGGATGCAGTGAGGTCTGAATCTCTGTCCTCAAAAGGGGGGAGGGTTTGGGGTGTTTGTATTGTATTTTATATATTTGTTTGTAGTTGATAAATTAAAAAAATTTTTTAAAAAATTAACAACCTCAGAAGGATGGAAGTGGTTAATCTGCACTACTGCAGTGAAAACTCTGCTCATAAGCCAGGTTCCATCCCAGGTAGCTGGCTCAAGGTTCACTCAGCCTTCCAGCCTTCTGAGGTCGATAAACTGAGTACCCAGTTTGCGGGGGGAGGCAATGTGTAGCTTGCATAATAAACTTCTAGACTGATTCTAGAATAACTGTAATCATTTTCTTTATCCAGTCCCCTTTAGTTTTACAGGACCTTGTTCCTTTGTGACAAAGTGAAGAGAATTCCTTCTTTCGCCTGCCTTTGAGGCCAGTGGTCCAAACCATTTCTCTTACCCTCCTAGCTGGATCCGGTGCTTCTCTCTGCAATTCTTCTGTAGTGCTGTGGAGAAACCAGAAAAAAGAATTAAACAGAAGGGCATTAATAAAAAATGCTTTTGATATTCCATGGGCCTGAGTAGCCTCGGAATGTATTATAGAAGGATCTATTATATGGAAATTATGGAAAATGAAAAAGATGTGAAGATCATGGCTAACCACAGAATAGTCATGAGGAACCAATGCAGAACAGCTCAAACAGCAAAAGTGGTTATTTTTAGATTAACCAAGCATGACATTTCCAGTGGAAATCTGCTTCTTTCACAGTCTTTTGCCTATTACTAGTTGGAGGGCTTTTTTTAAAAGGGGAGGGGCAGGCTTTTGGCCTGGCCTCTGTTCAGTGTTCTTTGTGTTCATCTAACATTTTAGTTTGCTTACTCTTGCAATTATTCTTTATGTTTTGACATGACTGTACTAGAGTTTTGTGTATTGTTTTCATGATGTAAATGCAAGTTGCCTTGCATGCTCCATTTAGCAGTGTAAGTGTGGTAGTGAAATCCTGGCTTACAAAGATAGTAGCAAATAAATAGACAAATAGTTTGATTTCCAGCAATGTATCTTGTACTCCTGACTTGCTATGATCAAAATGTGTACTCTCAATTTACACACACACACTATCATTATATCATACTTGGTATTTGTGTGTGCATGTGTACATAACTCCTGTTAGAGGCTAAAAATACATAGTCTTTTTCTGCAGATGCTCACCAAAGCATCATGTTTGAAGAACTTCACAAATGCTTTAATGCCATTTTTATTCATACTGACTAGCAGTGCCCAAGGTGGACGTGGCAACTGGCCTTGAAATATGTTTATGTAATTTAAATATATAAATCTTTTTTCTGACGGTGGGAGAGGTCATTGCACCTCAATAGGTAGATACCGCCCGCCTTAAGCTGGGCAGCCCCCAGCCAGTAAGGTGCTACCTTGAAGAGACCCTTGTCCAGCAGGCCGAGGCAAAGAGGAAGTCACAAAAGCAGCAAAACCAAGGAGCTGGACAGGGGACAGATTGGATTTGTCTTCAGTGTGGAAGAGATTGTCACTCTCGAATTGGCCTCTTCAGCCACACTAGACACTGTTCCAAGTCCTCCATACAGAGCACGACACCATAGTCTTTCGAGACTGAAGGATGCCTAACCGAACTAATTTTCAAATCTAAAGTCATCCTAGGTTTCTGGCTGGTAACTGCAGTGAGTAAAATAAATAAATCAAATTAGTGAGCTGGTTGAGGTAATCTGATCTTTTAATTCCTGCTTCACATTGTTGTCTTTCAACTATCCTTTGAACTTACCTTTAGCTATAAATATTTGTCTGATCTCATTATTTAGAAGTGCATGGTGCCATCAAGCCAGTTGAGCAGTCTCCCAGTGCTAATTATCTGATACGAACATTCAGTAAACCAAGGGCAAGATGGTTATCCAGGTGGTGGGTGGGTGGTGAAGATGGCTCTGGCTGGGAGATAGGAGAACTTTACCATTCTCTTTGTAATCTTGCCATGTGTGTGTTGAATTCACATGCTTTGGGCACTACCACATTCCACTAAATCAGAATAAATTTGTGAAAAGTTAAAACTTTTGAAGATATTCCCACTTATATTTCAGAACTCCAGAGAATTGCAGGAAACTATTTGATCCTGTATGACTTGCTGGGGTCAGGTAAACTATTAATATTTAAATAGTCATCCTGCAGTGGTATATGTGAAAACAAAGAAGGACTCATATCCAAGGGACATGTTGAAATTACATTATTCTTAACAAAGAATTCCTGACATCATAATGCTTCCACATATAAATATCAGACCTTAAATTGGGGCAGTTTGTGTTTTAGAACACGAAGTTCCTTTGTTTTACTTTTCTGTTTGACAAGTGTGAGGATTCTTCATTTCCCGTAGATTGTTATGAAGGTATAGAGTGAGTTGTGTGTTTTTTTTTAACATAGCTGGGGGTTGGCAGACAGAAAGAGTGTTTACTCCAGTATTCATTGCCAAGTATGAGGTACTTCCGACTGAACTTCAAAAGTACTTAAATGAGCGTTCTTCAGAATGTGACTAATACGGCTGCTTTCTAGAAAGCAGAGGATGGTCAAGCACAAAGTTATGAAAGCACAAAGGAGAGGAGAGCAAGCTTTTCCAATTCAGAAAGAAAAATAATACATAGCTTTGTATAGAAATCTAGGTTCTTTCTGGCCAGGACACTCCTTACTTGACATGTGATAAATATGCCAACAGACAGGGCTGTGTGGATCATTACTTCAATGAACTTGAAGTTTTCCTTCTCCTTCCCCCTGTGGAGCCCACAGATATCGCAGATTTGCTCCAGAGCTTCTTCCCACTCTCTTGAGCAAATGAAGGGTAAAGAGCTATAAATCTGTCATCAGTGCCTGCTCACTGGAGAAAACTGTATGATATAGATAGTTTCTATTCTAGGATGCACTAAAGCAGTGGTCTCCAACCTTGGGCCTCCAGATGTTCTTGGACTTAAACTCCCAGAAATCCTGGCCAGCAGAGGTGGTGGTGAAGGTTTCTGGGAGTTGTAGTCCAAGAACATCTGGAGGCCCAAGGTTGGGGACCACTGCACTAAAGGCTTGCTATCCAAAAACAAAAGACAGATACCGGTATGTGAAAATAAACTCTCAGATGCCATATTAGGTCAGCATGGTGGCATATTAGGTCAGCAGAATTGTGTAGAAGCCACTTCCATGTGAGATTTTTGGGAATAACTGTGAAGAAAACACCTTCAATGGCCACAATCAAGACAATCGTGTGCTAAGAGTTCTTGAACATTTGCTAGATGTATAAACGCTGAATGTCTGCAGAATGCAGCCATACAAGCACCATGCGATCTGAAATGCCAGCCTTCTGTTTCTTATGTCTCTCCAAAGAACCGGAGTCCCACCATGATAGAAACAAAAAGCTGACTTTTTCTAAGGACATTTACAGGTTTACAGATATTCCATTACCTTAGCATCATCTAGAGTAAGTTGGCAGATGGGATCATCGGAGTTTGAGAGAAATACTAAGTGTCCACAGTGACCTAGCATACCAAAAGGTCACAAACGGGTACTTTTGTATATTTGAGTAGTATAAAAACTACCTGGCAAAAAACCTGCAGCTGGCAAGAGGCAGCACATCACACTTGTAGGAGAACACAGAAAAAGAGTAATCTTAGTACTTGTTAGGAAAATGCTGCATCTTCTTCAGACTGCTTCTATGTCCCACTGAATGGGAAGCACTCTGCTGTTGTAAATGTGTAGGTGGAAATGGAAGGTGTGCATTCTTTAAAAATGGCTCTAACAGCAGCAAGCAGAGAGCAAATGGTGGTGGGGGGAGGGACAGCTGACTTGGCAAGGAGGTGAAGAAAGACAACATGCCAGGGCGGTTCAGCCTGGCTCCTGCTCTCCCAAGTTCAGACTACAGGCTGTATAAGAGCTTCACTAGCCCTCAGGTCCAGCAGGGCCGGAACGTGGGATCACCTTGTTTCAAAGTTTCCTGCCTTCTGTTTCACCACGTTTTACTGCCTGCCAGTGCAGGAGAACAGGAAGTGTCATGGAAGTGTCCAAGCACAATCAAATACGTTCTCTCTCCACAGGCAAACCCTTCTGTTTGGAAAAAAAAGAGATGGCTTATGGGTTGGATGGTGAACAGATTGTTCTAGGGCCCATTTCAATTCAGCTCTTAATTGGGAAAGCCCACACGGCCTTTCATTTGTTCCAAATCTATTCCAGACCTCTGTTCCCAAATTTCTGGGAAACCATTAAGGATTTTATTTTCACTGGGTATCACATTCTCAGAGTTCTAAGATCTGAGGATTGAAAATGATGAAATCAGTTGTGAAGAATGGTTGGAGAGCGTGTGTTCCTTTAGGGGTTGTCAGATACAAATTTCCAGCAGCCCGAGCTAGCATAGCTAATGGTGAGGGATGATTGGGGGGGCAGCACAATAAACTCTGCAGTGCAACAGGTTCCCCTGGACACTGGTGGCTCATTTCCCACTGCCCCATCTCAGTCTAGCCACACTCAGTGCACTTCTGCCTGTTTTTTTCAGAGAAAGGAAGTCAGGGCCCTGGCCAGGCTCCGCTTCTGCTAAGTATATGTATACGTGTTCACATTGTTCCCCTTTGTGTGCATCTACATTTGTATATAAATGGATATTCTTTTCCCCACCCTGTCCAGTCTTATTGTCTCTAACTCTGCCCACTGTGCCATGCCTCCCAGCCCCACCAATTACAGCTGGTTTCCTACCTCTGGGCTGTGGAACCTCTTCTATCTAAAGGGGCATAGAGATGACCTCATTTGATGGAAGGGGTTCCGCATAGAAGTGCTCGGGAGTGAGCTAGACTTTTATCCAGCTACTGTTGCTGCTGTTGCTACCACTCAGCTGAAGGTGGGGAGGGCAGTTGGTGTCAGTCAAGGAGTTTTCCAGGACTGAAAGTGCCTCTAGAATCCAATATACATTATCTGAATACCTCAGAATTTTGGGGGCTGCATTCTACTGAAAGAAGTCAGAACAGCAACTAAAGTGGTTTATGTTGTAAATAAGCTGAGACCCAGAATATTTATCGTTTGTGGGGAGAGGCACTGTTTCTTATACAGTTGCATCACACAGACATATCTATAGCAAGTATGTAAGGGAGCTGTATTTATACAGTCTGCCTAAATCACGCCCACCCCCACTTAATCTGGTGTTGAGTTCATGATCAGGGCAAAATGCACGTGCATAAATGTGTAAAATAACCATAAGATGTGAAACTACCGTTTTTATGCTTTTTTCATAGATGGCTACAAATGATTACTTGTAAACCCTTAACTTAAATCAATTCCTGATGATGAAATTAAAATTAATGTTTCATGGATTCTCCAATTACAGATACATTTTCCTTATTTAAAGCATTACTTTTCTACTGAAAAACTTTCAAGTAGATATTTAACCTGTGTTTCTTTCCCCAGATTATTGTTTCTTACAGACCCAGAAAAGGAGACAAAAGTTTTATTCTGTTTTTATTTAAATATAGTTCTTATAATTTGAACCTCCACAGTAAGATCTTTCTGCAAAAGACAATAACTTTCTGAAATTTCTCCAGTTATTACAAGCATACCACAGATGCTTAGTAACCTTTCCAAACATGCTGTTACACTTGTCATGCAAATAGAGGATAATTAATTATCATGCCTAGAGTGTGACATTTACTGCACAAGGGCCTTGAGACTTCCAGGCCAACATTTTTTAAAAATTTGTTTTCAGCAGGGTGGTCCAATCATTGGCATCTGTTCTAGCTAGTGCTCTGGATGAATGCTTTGGCGGTGACATAAAAGATAAAGCTGGCAAATTGCATAAATAGTGCTGCCCAAGGTGTGTGTGTGTATATATATATATATTGCCCTACAGAGAACACACAGTGCTATCACTAGATAGGGTTCTTTCTTCTGTGCAACAGCCCCCTGCACATCTACTGCGCTTGATGACAAGTAAGGGAAATAGTCTGGGTGCAAATGGTTGTCGCTTAGATGAGTGAATATTGAATCCTGATGTCCCCAGTACCTTCCAGGAGCCAGACACCCAAGGCAGCAGCTGTTGGGAGAGTTGACATGCTGTAAGGCAGAGCTGTTTGTGTAGAGTTCCCCTAAGGTAGCCTATTGCCTTGTTTTTGCTGTGGGAGATGAGGGCCCATCACCTGCGTTGATGTAAGATTCAACTCTCAGTCTAGTCAGCTTCAGTACACGGAACAGGAAGAGGTGCCAACTTGTTGTGTGCCTCAAGGGCCCAGACATCTTGGGCCAGCCCTGATACTTGCATGAGGTAAAAAAACAGGTTTCTAGGATCAATGAATAAGTATTTCCAAACGATGTGAAGAGTAGCAAAGACATATACTTGTTTTGTATTGTATGATTTTTTTAAGCATTTGTTTTGAAACTCTATTCCGTCTTTTCTTCCTCCCTTCCTCTCTCTCTCTCTCTCTCTCTAACAGTTCCACCAAGTGAAAAGAGTGATGACCATCCTTTTCCTTACTATGGTTATTTCATACTTCAGTTGCATGAAAGCTGCCCCAATGAAAGAAGTGAGCCTCAGAGGACAAGGCAGCTTGGCTTATCCTGGTCTTCGGACACAAGGCCATCTGGAGGACTTGGGGGGCCCCAATGATGCCACGAGAGGACTGACATCGTTGGCAGACACCTTTGAGCATGTCATAGAGGAGCTCCTGGATGAGCAGCAGGCTATCCAGCCCAGCAAGGAAAACAAAGATGCAGACTTGTACTCGTCTCGGGTCATGCTAAGCAGTCAAGTGCCTTTGGAGCCTCCCCTGCTCTTTCTGCTGGAGGAGTATAAAAACTACCTGGATGCGGCAAATATGTCCATGAGGGTCCGGCGCCATTCTGATCCTGCGCGCCGTGGGGAGCTCAGCGTGTGTGACAGCACAAGCGAGTGGGTCACAGCAGCCGAGAAAAAGACAGCAGTGGACATGTCAGGGGCAACCGTTACAGTCTTGGAAAAAGTCCCGGTACCAAAAGGCCAACTGAAGCAATATTTTTATGAGACCAAATGCAACTCAAAGGGTTATACGAAAGAGGGCTGCAGGGGCATAGACAAGAGGTACTGGAATTCTCAGTGCCGAACTACCCAGTCTTACGTGCGAGCTCTCACCATGGATAACAAAAAGAGAGTTGGATGGCGGTTTATAAGAATAGACACTTCCTGTGTTTGTACACTGACCATAAAAAGGGGAAGATAGTGGATTTGTGTTGTATAGATTATATTGAGACAAAAAATTTATCTATTTGTATATATACATAACAGGGTAAATTATTCAGTAAGAAAGAAAATAATTTTATGGACTGCATGTATAAATGAGGTTTATACAGTACAGTGGTTCACAAGCTATTTATTGAACATATCCATGACCTAAAGGGGAACAAAAGAGAAAAAAAAGATAATCCATTTGCGCACAACTTTGAAAAAAAAATTGCATTACATTCCTCTAAACATTGTGGTTTGTTGCCGTTGCCAAGAATTGAAAACATGAAAAAAAAAATTAAAAAATTAAATTGCATGCTGCTTCAATTGTGAATTGATGATAAACTGTCCTCTTTCAGAAAAAAAAATTGAACCAAAACATTCCATTTACATTTTAGACAGTAAGTATCTTTATTCCTGTTAGTATTATATCTGTTTACTGCTTTAAAATTTCTTCTGGTAGCGTTGGAATTAAAACAATGTCAAGGTGCTGTTGTCATAGTTTTACTGTTTTTTTTTTAATTCCCACATGGTTTTAAAAGAGGGGAGAGTTCCCCATCATCACCGTATATGTTTTGAATAAAACAAATTTGGGTTTTTTTGTATGTTGTGAAGGTGTTTGCAATATCAAATCAGACTACTGAAAAAAATAATAAAAAAGAGGCAACTGAAAAAGATAGTGTTGATGTTCCTCCCAGTGCTCTCTCCTAGTCTACAAGCAGCATATTCTGTTCTGTCTAGATATAAGAGCTATTCCGTGATTATTGCTTGAAAGGTCTGCCTTTTGCTTGTTTCATGTTTGGCTGTATCTGGGTTTCCCTGCTTCGTCTTTCTTCTCTTGGGAAGGAAACAAATTGCAATCTTTTGTCCAATATATTTTCCCACTCTCATAGGACATTGAGATTTAAGGAGGTGGCTCCCATCTAACAAGGGAGTTCTACATGCGCAGTTGTTATACATCCAGCATACTTGGTGTCAGGCCACACCGAACTTTGATAGGCACATCCACTGGTGGAAAAGACACACACACACACACACACACACACACACAGAGGGGCCAGTGCAATGAACATTGAATCAAGGACAAATATCTTTTGTTGCTGGATCAAATGGCTTCTTGATGTCCAGTAACAAATCTCAGCAAATGGGGAGTAGGGAAGTCATGCAAAGATCAGATGATCATTAACCAGGTGCACTTGGACTGCCACATTGTTGTAAGGTATGGATCCATTGTACTCATTGAGGATCTACAATCTATTGGCATATGTTGGTTAATCGAAGGTCTAGCAGCTGCTATTAAATGCAGCTCTTTGAGGAGTCAATGAGCAGCAAAGGCTTTCCCTGTGAATAAGGACAAGTAGAACAGCCTGATGCTCTTATTGTAAAGGGAATGTCTGGTATGCCCTAGTTCTCAAAAATCTGCTCCTTTCCATACTTGAGATAATAGAAAAGAATCCAGGCCTGAAGGAGTGGCTCTGGAATCAGGTAGGCAGAGCCTTCTACCTCAAAACCCAACTACCTGTTGAATCTAGAAATGCCTGTAAGGGTCTATGTCTTTCTAAGGGGTAGCACACAATAGCCTTAACTTCTACAAGAAACCTCATCCTGTAGAACCACAGTTTTTCTTTAAAGGAAAATCCTAAGATGCAATCCTGGCATCAGTTGTATGCACTTTAATTAAAGCTGACTTCAGTGAAATGCATATTGTGAGGAACTGAGCACAGAGCTGAAGCCTTAGGCCATGGATAATTAGCAACAAATTTAGCACAGCCTGAAACATAAATAGACAATGATTTTAATAGATTAAAGTCATCACAGTAAGAATTCAGCATAGTTTAGGACTAAGTACATTTTTTAAAGACACACATTATGTGGCCTATGTTTTACAATGCACACAAAGTAATTTATCAAGGAGTGTTCAGGCCGCATGAATATTTCACAACAAAGATGCATGCTTTCTTGTGAAGGCTTCTGGTGATTTGCTGAAAAGTGACCTTTGCTTTGATGTTGGCCCTAGTTTGTCCAGAACGGTAGATGGGGAGAGTCTGTGTCTGGATTGTACCAGCCTGCACCACAGGGTGAGACAGTCTTCACAGAAACTTAGCATGTTGGAGGGAAGACTAGGCAAGAAGCCCTTCTTCTTGATACATTTGATCTTCTATATGAAGAGAACAAGCAGCATCACTTGCAGCCTAAAGCAGTCCAGTCCAGGATCTGGATAATTCCCTTTCTATCTGCTCTTTTTGTGATCTAGGTTATTTTTAAAAAGCCAATACAATTCCACACTTTAAAGATTCGTGTCTTAAAATAAAACACTAGTAATCCAAATATAAGATGGTATTTCACTTATTGGAATTTAACTTAGCCCTGGAAAGCAGCCCATCTAATCCTGTTAACACCCAGTTGCAGAATTATCAAAAAAATACAGTTTTGAATACAAGCAAAATCTAAATACACTTTTTCTAAAAGCAACAAATATCAAAGCTTTTTACTGATTTTTAGTAGTTAAAGAGCAGAGATGGCTCAACTTATTACAAAATGTATATGTTATCCTTGGACATGTGTTTGTTGTTAAAACACAAATTCAATTTTTCAATGGCAATATGCAGGTAGTCCCCATTCCATCAATCAACTGTCTACCTAAGTCACATAGATAGTTGTTACCTTAAAAGAAAGCAGGTGTGGCCATAGCCTTACTGGCTAAGAAATGGATATTTTCACTTTATTATTGTAATAGATAGTTAATACTACTACAAGCTATAGACAGATTAGACTAATTGACATCTAGGGCATGCTACACCAGGATCACTTTGTAAGATTATCTCATTAGCCAGAAGTTGCTATTTGGTGGCACATTTGAAAGTTGGAAGGCAAGCATTGATGTGTCTCTATGTGATAATAAAACATGACAATCCTGATTTCATTCCAGTGTATTAGCCTAGTACCCTGTTTTATGGACTGATGTTACACAATCCTCACTTTATGTGGCAAAGTAATAGTGACACATTCTCAAAGCATGTCTGTTGATGTAAATATTATTTGTCTTCTAACTCTATTGTGTATATAACTAGGTCAACAATCTTTCACTCAATAATAACTAGTCAGCCACTCAACTCCCTCTAATATATTGCAGTCGGCTCATATTTAGGATCATGGTCATGGTCAACACTGAAAGTAAAATAAGTATTGTATCATATATACTACACTGATTTGGACTGTGTAAAAAAAAATCTGGAACATAGGTATAATCTCAGCACTAGATAAAAAGTACAGCTATTTCTAATAAGAATTTTTTTAAAAAAATTTAATAATAGGAAGTTATTAGAAATATTTAGCTTTTCCCCCCTGAATTGGCATGGTGGTTTGGATCATTCCAATTTAGTGGTTCTTAGAGCAAATGCACAGAAATCAGTGGAACAAGTCAGGCAGGATAATGGCTAAATGGATTTCACTGGGTCATTTTAAATGTGACTAAGTTAGGATCCAACTAAATATTTGGTAGAAACAAAATCAAAATCAGATTTAACCAGGATTGTTCTAACAACAGTCCTGTTTCTGGAATTGTCATGAAATGAATGACTCATATAGACGGATACTGCTTCACCCTTCATATAGCACAGATTAAGGTTTACCCTCCTACAAAGCAGTCCAGTTCAAGATAATGAGATTACTCTGGAAAAAAAACTGCATACGAGGATCTGATTCATTAATCTTTCTCTACTAAACATGGATTGGCTGTTGCACTTTGTACACATTACAAACAAAGATAAAGATCCGTATTTTGATATAGAAACTGCAAAAATATTTGCTATGCAATTAATCAGTGGATCACTAATTAGTCCCCATGAAACCTGAGATGTTTATAGATCTGAACTAGCACCACTGTTTCCCAACACTTCAAGCCCTATTGAGCACCCACAGTAATGATATGTCAAACCCACTAATACAAAGACATGGATCACAGGCTTGGCAGTTTTAGTTGAATGGAGGTTTCAAAAATGTCAGTCAATTAATTGAAGTTTTGCTGTGCTCTGTTTGTGGCAAAAGTATTTCATGCATGTCTCATTGGCCCTATTGTTTTGTTTAAAAAGAAAAACCTCTTGCAAATGTAAGTTAATGTCTGTGGCCTTGTTCTCTCTTATTCACCATGTGTAACAAATATTTATTGTACAGTATATTTATATAATTTTATGGGATTTTTTTGGAAAAACAATTGAATCTGGCATTAAATCTTACAGGCATCTGCGTCACATTGTAAATATAATTAAGCTATATTTAAGTGTACCTATTAACATATAATATATGTTTAAATATAGATTTTTATGTTTTTTAAATATAT